GATTGTTATCTTCGTTGGAAGCGTTGGATGTGTTTATGACCAGAGATCAGATGACAGACATGAGAGACAATTTGAAGATATGGTTTGAAGGCCATCGAGACATGCATTGCGATTATTATCTTCAGAATCGGTTCTTACCATTGGACCAGTACTACGAACTCAGGAGCAAAGAATCGGGTATTTATTTGTATTAATTTATTCTATATAAAGTTATAAATATAACTAGCAACAAGTTGCTACTTTGTTGCAACAAATGATTTTACATTAATCAGTTATCAGTAAATATGTTAGCGTTAGCTTTTAATGTGCTTTTAATAAACTCACAACGTCAATTGTCAGTAATAAAGTTATACAGAAATTTATCAGAATGCAATTTTAACACACATTTTTTACAGCCCCGATGACATGTCAAAACCGAGGGCCGACTGTATTAAAAGCATAATTGTTAAGCCCTAGTAAAATACAATAATAATACATAAATATAAGTCAGTTTATATTATATTATTTATTAAAAAGGATCAAGTTTAGTTTTGGGTTTATAGATATTTAAGTAAATTATTATTAATTGTTATAAAAGGGTGGCTATTGTTCACATTGCTTGTGGAAATTTGTGCGGATTACTCGCCCCCAGAATCGGTGCTCAAATCCGTACCAATGGATACATTCCGGGTGTCGACCACACGACTGGCTCTGGCAGTCGACGACTACATAACATTTAAGACAAAAATGGCCGCCAATGACGTCACCAATGGTCTCATGGCCTACGCCTACATCGAGAAGTGCCGTCTTCAGACGGCAATCGACACACAGTTTCAGCTCATTAAGGACTTGGAGGCCGAGTGTCAGTCTCTCTCCGACACTATAGCCACCAAATTGGACGCCGAGTTTGAGACACCGGCGCTCGTATTGTATATGAATTCACTGATTGGTATGTCTTATGGCATGTATGCCGGGGTTGCCATCCTATACGCGTACGAAGAGAGGGATGGACTGCTTTGCTGTCCAAAGTGGGATCAATTGAGTCAACAACTCT